TACTTTTTCACATACATCTGAGATTTTGTTCGCATTGCTTTCAGTTTACTTGAGGTCCATATGTACACTGGACATGTAGCTAGGTACATTTGAAGTACATGTACATGTAGATGTAACTGTATGTTTTGTAGGAGTTCGAGATACAATCTGATCTATTCCAGATGGGTAACTTTGTGATGCATGTTCATCTGTCGACTTGTTCGTCTCAATTGACTTGAATTTAGTAATGCATGGTAATGCCATGCTGTGTCCTATTGTCACGTTGGTATAAATTACTTCTCCTATGTCGACATTGCTAGTAAAATATAATTGTTTTGGACGGTGCACGTAAGTAGTTTCGTTTTGTGTGGTGTGTGCGAGTGCATGTGGTGTCCTTAGGAATGGTCCCATGTGTTCTATGTGCGCTGGAGTACTGCCAATTATGTACCAGGTCACTGCCCAAAAGGCATGGCTTGGTGCATATTTGGCAGTGCACCAGCGTACGTAGTACGCCTGGGGTCATTCCTAATGGGCATGGGTACGCCGTACCCGGGCATTATCGTCTGATAATGCCCTGGTACGGTGCTGCTCTGATTGGCCAAATGCTAGCAACGACTTGACAACAGGCACGTGACATGTATGAACTGTAGGTTCGCATGATGGCGTGCTCGTTACTGCGGCAGGACGTTCAACTGGCACAACGCTGCCGCTGCAACAGAAGGTGCCAACAACGTTTGTTCAGTTTAAAAAAATGTCAACACTGGCGCTGAACCACCGGCATTTCTCATGTCATGACAGACAAACAGAAATGCATGTATAAAGCTGCAGGAGACCTCACCGCTCTAACTCACAGAACAGTCGCATAGAACAGTAACTGTTATAGAATGCCTTGCAAAGTTCAGTCAAAACAGTCATATTATCATGCCAGCTCATGCTGAACGACTTACACCAGAGGAGAAGCGGGATCGACTACCGTTTTTCTCACCTCTCCTGAAAGAAGATTGTGTAACAAGTGCATGTACACACACTACTTAATTTATACTCCTACTTGCTGACTGACAGAAGCGTGGCATGCAGGTCTTTTACCAGGACATGGGGAGAGATTCAAAACATGCATACACACACACATACATGTACTTCCTCCGCTAAGCAAAACTTCATTGCGTTTTTAGTGTTCTTGTCATGATATTTCTGTCGGCATTAGACATACATGTCAGTGATCTATCCCCTACGTAGGGTAGCCGAGTTGTCGTCCATTGTTCTGACAGGCTTTTGAACCTCCGAAAAGCGTGGAGTCCTTTGAAAAAATCGGCGAAGCAGAACCATTTCTCGACAGGATGTCACCAGAACACAACCCCAGGCGTGCGTGCATGACACCAAAGTGCGAAAATGAGAAACAGTTTGAAACACCGCTGGCTCAAAGAAGTATCCAGGAGCCGGCCAGCGCTCAGGCACTGCTGTACTAGCACGAGTCGATGGTGCGCATCCCCATACAGCCAAAACCAATGCATTTGTGGTTGCAGTGCAGGGGAAATCAAAAGTGTTCGACATTCAGGCTGTCGTTCAGTCGCCGCAAAATCCTGATCTCAACGTCGACGACTCGGCGTTCTTCCACAGCCTGTAGACAGATGTGTCACTCGTGGCGAAGGAAACCAGAAAGGAGCTTCTGCAGGGTTTGGAAACGTTCTAGCACGACTACACCGCTGCGACGATGGAGAGCTTTTGTTTGGGTCTGTATGGCTCCTTCCATGGCGTTCCGGAGAGTGGCCACAACTACCAGCGCCACCGTGAAGGTCGTCAAGCTCACAGTTCAAGTGAAGAACTTGGCGATCTTCATGATCAAATCGTGTCTTGGAAATTTGTAAATGCTGCGGTACAAAAGCTGGCAGCGCTGGAGGCGAAAGTCAGCGAGGATGCAGACTTGATGTCATCAGGGAGTGTAAGTCGTCATCAAATTCAGACGAAGAGTGAAGCTGGACTGCTTTGAAACGAGCTGTGTGCCATCTGTAGATAAATATCTTTTATATGCTGCTTTGTTTTCCACTTTGCAAAGCGTGTTCGTAGCCATAGAATGGTTTGGACTGAACTGCAAAAATGCAACAAAGTTTTGCTTAACGGAGGAAGTATACACAGATCAGTGATCGCTGAGAATGACAGACTGATAAGTGCCTGAACAACTGAAGTAATGCATTGGATACCAACGTTATTCAAACTCCACGCGTGTGCAGCACCAGATGTGCAGCAGTATACGGAATCGGCTCACCTCTTGTCCGCTGCGTTTTCGCTTCAGAGAGCAGCTCCCTGAACTTCTCAACCTTGTCCTTGTTGAAGACCTCGACGATCTCGAGGAACTTCTCAAATGTAACATGCTCACCGGGCGTCATGTAGCGGATGAACTTCTCGTTGTGAAGCTGCTGTGAGTGTCTCAGCTCATAAAGCCCTGTCTCAAACTTCCTGCACCACATCCTTTTCCTCCTGGCTTCATTCTGCAGTCGCTGGGGATTCAACTGTACTATCCACTGACTCAGATCGTGTGAGAAGAACCGCTCATCGCACCATGGATCTGCACACATGGAATAAATGAGCCATTCAAAACATCTCTGGCCACATACTAGTAATATGATTTCCAATATTGAATAGTATTTGACTGACGTGGGAAATACCAGTCACAGTGTCAATCAACCTCACAGGACAGTCAAAACAGGCATTTTTGGTGTTGTATTCTAATCCTTCACCATAGCATCGTGAATTGTATTCTGTTTGCCCGTCAAAACAGGCATGCTGTTGTCATTGTCGTTGTTGTATGTTGCTGTCATTATCATTGTATTGTTATATTTCAATTCACTCAGGGCACCTGCAAAACTGCCTTCTTATTGGAGAGACACTTCTCAAGTTTCTAACACACTCAAAATTATATGATTGTATGAAAAGACACCTATGCATAGAATAATGGTACACTCTCAATGCTCCGGACAGCCAGCTATTTCCACCTTATCAGGTCTCCTCAGCGGAGCTCAGAGTTACTGACCGAACCGATCGCAATGAAGTTAATGAACAAAAAAGCCGTATATTTAAACCGGCTCAAAAGCGCTCATAATAATACTCTGTCAAAAACAAACAACCATACACAGTGATTCCGAGGTCAGCATGTTTGACCGTAGATTCACCGCTCCCTGGTACAGGGGCACTCTATTACTGTACTGTAACTTTGTAAGTAGTTGTTATGGGGACAATCCAAACAATGCTGCCTATCATAGAGATTGTCTCACTCACTTTTACGTTTCTCCTTCAAGTCAGCCAGTGAACCGGGCTCCCTCAGTTCTTCAAAGTCGCGGACTTTATGTTTGTAGACCTTTTCAACAACGGCCAGAAACTTGTCAAACGTGTCCTCGCCAAGTGGTGTAATATGGTCCAGATAGAGCTGAGCGTGTTCACGTGGCTTGCCCGTTGCCGCCACTAGGTCATTGATTATGCCGCCTTTCAACAGTTTACATTCAACAGAAAGGTCTCTCAGGATTCTCTCGTCGATCAGCTTGATCCAGCCGCAGTAGAACTCGGCCGGGAACCGCTCGTCTGCCCACGGTCCTGAAGTGATGCACATACAAACACATTATACCAACAAGCTCATGATTGGGCACTTTTACTGCTATTTCCACGTTTTTAAAGAAGTTATGGTACTACTTTTGCAAACAGTCACTACCAGTGTGAGTGAGGCCACTGTGCGCAAGTGTATGTGGTAAACACAAATAAGCCATGCTATAATGAACTTCAGAGCTGCTTCTTGCATGTCAGTGCAGTCATCAGAGCTGCCAGCACATATGCACTGCAAAAAGGCCACAGGAATGTGGCAACGAAATCACATCGAATGTTCTGAAACATGGCAAGACTTTGCACGGTGCGTTGCGTTTCGCTACTTTGTGACATGTTTGGAACCTCCTTCACATCCTCCCCTGTGCATAGATAAGTTCATTGAATTTTATGTCAGCAAGTGCAAACACAAGACCACACTAAAAACAAGCAGAAGACAGAATCATCGCTGTACCTGCGACCAGAAGAGTCGTTTTCTGCCTACAAGTCATTCTCCCATTCTTCAAGCAACCATGATCCGTGTTAGAATGTTCCCAATCTCGTAATGCGCGGTCAACATCCACAAAATTACTTGTTCCCTGCCATCACTTGATGGCTTTGTGAAACGTGATGGCATGGGCGTAACTGCAAAGGCTTTGCTCGAAATTACTGGAGTGCTGATTAGAAAAGACTACAGATCCTGGTTTTAAGTTCTATTCTTACAGCATACAAGTTAGACTTCAAAAGTTTCTCTGAGGTAACAGAAATTTAGTTAATCTCCATGGATTATGCATCGGTCCCCGATATTACCGGTACACAGTCCCATCAGCTATCAGTATAAATGCCGACCATGCACATGCAGTCGAAAGGGTTTGGTCTCAGTGTATGGGCTGCACTACACATACACAATACACCATGTGAAGTTCAGCCACTGTCCATTGCTACATAACATATATTCTCATGGAATCAGTTCCACGGGAATATATTACGTAGCAATGCACAGATAACTAACACTTTCTCACACACTCCATATCGCGCTACATATCACATGGTAATTGTTACTTTGGGCTTGCCACATTCATGGAATATAGCAGTACTCTCAGGGCAGGGCAGGCGCGTAGCACCGCCGTTGGCGGTTGTCCGGCGAGGGGGGGGGGGGATTCCGGGGGGATCTCCCCCGCGGATTTTTGAAATTAGGGTGCAAAATCCTGCATTCTGGGCACTTTTGGCATTGTTTTACTATGGTGGTCGTGGTCGGGCGAAAAAGTGGGCCGGCCAAAGCCGGACCGGCTGGAGCGGCTGCTACGTCCCTGCAGGGTCAGTATCTATTTTCATCTGATGATCGATTCAGTTTGTGAAACTCAGAGTTACGGAAAAAATTGCTCGTTCTTCTGCCTGCATGCACAATACACTGTATAAGTCTTACCACTTGCAGCCTGTGAGAGTCGCTGGCC